TTTGGTTTTTCGAGACAGGGTCTCTCTGTGTAGCCCTGGCTGTCCTGGAACTCACTCTGTAGTAAAGGCTGGCCTCAAACTCAGAAATCCGCCTGCCTCTGCCTCCCAAGTGCTGGGATTAGAGGCGTGCGACACCACTGCCCGGCTTATCATTTTCTAACCTCCTTTTATGTGCGTCCATTGGCTTTTTAGACTGTGGCAACTACTGGTTCTCCTTACTTCCGTGTCATCAACATTTTTCATTAAGTTTATTCTTTTAATTAAAGAAGATAAATGCAGGTGTCGCCTGAACAAAGGAGCAACAAATGCAGGTCACCAGACAGCTTGGACTTTACATGCCACGAGTACACACTGCCTCTGGACAGACTGCTAGGAAGCCCATACCTTAGTAAATGCTTTGGCCACACAGCATGTGGCCTCCGAGGTAATGTTCTTTGGAACCAGCATTGTCTTCTTGGATCTTGCAGGAGTGGGGTATGCCCGGGAGAAGCAACAGCCCATACACTGATAGATGGGGGCACCCAGCTTGGAGAAGTATTTATTTTCCTTTAGTTTACATTCTGGGCAACCTAGCCAGAAAAAGAGAAAGAAAATTGAACCAGAAAGGATTCAAGGACAAACTCTTTCCTGGGTACGATATGACATGCTTTTTGCGTTGGCAATAAATAAAGGAAATAAATATTTTTGCCTACATACTAATCTTCACATATAGCAGCATCTCTTTATAATTATTGTAATTGTGTTCACACAGAAACCTTTTTTTTTTTTTGCATAGGGAGTTTTTGCATAGTGTTTTCTCATTCTCCAAGGACAGATAATCTCACTGCTAACAGCATGCTTCGAGAGGACACAAAAGCTTGACAGCTATAAATGCTACATTCATCTGAAAAGAAGCGTTTTCCTGAGGTGAGTCTGCTGTTGTTTTCCCCATAAAAACTCCAAATATTGACAGAAAACCATCATTAGATTTAAGAAAGCTTGGGAGTCTGATAATACAAATGGCATCTGTGCTTAGAATCTGAAATACAAACATTACCATTTACAAAAAAAAAAAAAACCTTAACAAATAACAGTTCACAATTTCAAAGCTAGTGGCTATGTCTGGTCCTGTAAGAGACTAGTCAAGCATTATAGGAAAACAGATTTAATGCATGGAACAGATTCTTGTTTTCCTCGCTTGTTAATCCTGATATGAAAATTTATCTTCGAAAGCAATGTTAAATGTTTCTGAAATCTGGAAGCAATGTAAAAAAGACAACCAAGCTGAGTAGGGATGACTTTTCTCCTTGTAAACCTCAGATGTGGGAAAAATAAGGAGTGCACTTCAGACAGACACGCTTAGGACGCTATTAAAGTGGATGTGGAATATAACATTTTCACTGCGTATTTCCTGAACCTAATTTAATTTTGTGCTTACAGACTACATGTGCCTAGATGTGTATCCAGAAGTAACTGTTTATCACATGTGAAAGACTGTTGAAGTTAATTAATGATTACTGATGTGCAACTAGGAACACGCTTTCCTTTTCATTGCAAGCCCGAGCTTAGTCACATACCCTGAATAATAAGGTCTCCATCAGGAAGAGAATGAAGAATATGCAGGAACATGGACAGCATGACCAGAATGACAGCTGCATATTTTCTGTAGTAATCCATAGCTCTCCTGCAAACTGCCACATAAAAAAAATAATAATAATAACAGTGTCATCTTAGCTTACCAGTCATAACACAAACCAGCTGTTTTAGTATGATAGTTCTTTATCTGGTGGTATTGACCTTGGGCATGCTAAGTAACTGCTCTACTACTGAGCTATATCCCTAGCACCATCAACCATTAAAGTTTAACATTATTGCTCATGGGAGATGGAGAGATTGCTCAGTGGTTAAGAGCACTGACTGTTCTTCCAGAGGTCCTGAGTTCAATTCCCAGCAACCACATGGTGGCTCACAACCTTCTGTAATGGGATCTTGCAAAGCCAGGTGTAGCCTTGGTGGAGACAGAGTGATGCAGTTCCTGCCCCTGGGACAAGGCCTTTGTTGTGAACATCCAGGAGATGCCAAGCTCAGTGTTGCCCTAGTGGGGACATAGTGACAGGGACAGGGCCCTGGAGTGAGCCTCCATGAGTGTTGGTGGATGGTGTGGGCTTAAGGCTTATTTGTATAATAATGTACATATTTTCACATTCCTCCAAGTAATGTCCTCCATGTTAACATTAATGATTCCATGAGAATTAGAAACAGCACAAGTCCAGGAGTCGAAGATGTGGCTAATGTCTCAACAAAATGGTAAAGGCTGGGACCTTCAGGAGACAGCCCTTTAAGCCCTTAAGGCTATTGGAAAGAGCTCAAAATACATGAGTTCAAAACATATATAATTTCTCAACTATGCAAAATATAAGGATGCAATATGAATTATGAGAGGCTTCATGAATCTAAAGGAACAAAGCAGCTACACCATGAGCCAGCTTGTCAGAAAAATACAAAGGCAGGCAGATTCCTGAGTTCAAGCTCAGTCTAGAACACATCAAGGGTAGACCCTGGTGTAGTAGAAATGGTAATTTCAGGGCAGGGTCTTACCCAATTAGCTTATCATCCCTGCTTAACAGAGGCAGACAGATCTCTGAATTCTTTGCAATATCAAAAGAAAAATGTATGCTTGCTGCCTCTGGAGACTCAAAGGGCTGGGTCTGAGGATGCTGATTCATAAGATAATCAAAAGGAGACCTGGATAAATGACTAGATTGATACGTAAATAAAAAACTGGGCTTTGGTCTGTGGGAAACGAGCTAGCAGAAAGCCAGAGCAGTTCTTCTTTAGAATTTTTCTCTAGCCAGAGCTGAGATATCTGGAGATCTCTGGAGAGCAACCCAGCTCTTTGATAATTATTTTCTTGACTGGATTTCTGACTTTGTCAGAAGATCCAATAATTTTTATAGCATCTTTTCTGACTTTTCAGACTATCCAGATTTTAGAATTTTTTCTAGAAGAGAGAGCTGTCTCAACCAGAGATTTAGAGTAGCCAGAAAAAAGTTGTCTAGAGCAGAATACACACACACACACACACACACACACACACACACACACACAGAGAGAGAGAGAGAGAGAGACAGAGGCAGAGACAGAGACAGAGAGGTGTAGAAAGTCATCTCAGCAGAACCTAGGCTGCCAACATGGACCGGCAATTTGACTTCTAGTTATTCCCCACTCCCCACCCCCCACCCCCTGCCCGCTTCCCAACCCACCACTCTCAGCCACCTCTTCTCTCAGAACCCCTCCTCATGCCATGGCTGGTCCTTGGCAGGATCTGATGCCCTTTTCTGATGCGTCTGAAGACAGGTACAATGTACTCATATACATAAAATAAATAATAAATAAATAAACATTATTGCTTATAATAGTCATTAATGTCCTGCCCCTCTGCCTTCTGCTCCCAACTTGCCCTAAACATACATAAACCATGTAAATAAAAGCACAAAGTCCCTTTAGGAAAGAGGCAGGGCACTGTGTCTCCCTGTTTCTGACATAAGCATTTAACACACCTTTCTCTCTTTCCCCCTCCAACCTTCAGCAGTGAATTCACAACTCGTTGGCCTCCTCAGTGTAATTAATGGAAAGGTCAGGTGTGATGAATATGTAAATTAAAACAACAGCCACCAGAAATCCTAAATGCTGGTTTGAATACATGACACTGGATAACAGAGACATCTCCGGTGGGAACGTTAAAAGAGTAACAGGAATTCTGGAAAATAGCTTGGTAGCTTTTCTTGTTCAGTTGGGGTTTGGGAGTGGGTGTTTATCTTTATTTTTTGTTTGTTTGATTGATTTTTGTTTTGTTTTTAGTAGATAGGGTTTTCTGTAGCCCAGACTGTCCTAAAATTCACTTTATAACTGAGGACAACCTTGAACTTCTGATTCTTCCTCATCCCTCTAGCACTAGTATTAGTGGTATGTGCTCACTCACACAACTTTATATGCTATTATTTTTACCATATATATATGTGTGTGTGTGTGTGTGTGTATGGTATGTATAAATATATATAACTATATAATTATATATATAACTATATGTATACATGTATACATAACCATATATATATACACATATATATACATATACATAACCATATATATGGTTAACTACATAGTAATTATATATGCAGTATATGTATATATATGTATATGTATGTGTATGTGTATATGTATGTGTATGTGTATGTGTATGTGTATATGTATATGTATACACACACACTACAGGTAACCACTGTTTGTTCTAAGTCAGTGATTCTTGAAGGAAAAAGACCCTAGAAAGCTTCAGTGAGTCTGTGAGGACAAAACAATTAATAAAAATATTAAAATGTTCTCTGCATTTTTCCTTAAAGATTTATGAAGTGGTGGCCAAACAGATTGAGTAAAGGAGTACATCAAACCCAGCTGTGCCCCACCAGACCAGACACTGAAAATCAAAAAAACAAAATAAGAAAAATTAAACAGGGCCACTCTTCTTACCGATAGTCTCTGTTTAGGAAATTGTTATCTGTTTCCCAGTGGCATGCGCTCAGGGTACTAGCACTTTGAGGGTTTAGACAAGGGGATCATCACACTTCTATGGTAGACTGTACTAAAGAGCAAGCATGTCCCCCAATAATTAAATAAAAGCAAGAAACCATCACATTATCACATGCTTACTTTTCCTTTTCAGTTTTTCATTTCTGTTTTGATTTTGACTTGTTTGTTTTTGACACAGGGTCTTGCTTTGTGGCCTAGTACTCACTATATATCTGAGACCACCACGAGTGTTCAGCTGTCCTCCTGCTTCTGAAGAGGTCAGCTCAGGAACTTTAGAAAGGTCATGGGACACTTGCGGGATGGGAGAGGCTAATTAACGTTCCTCCTTCTGAGGACACTTGTTGGATTAACATTCCTCAGTCAGAGGAGGAAAGGAGAGGCTGATTAACATTCCTCAGACCACAAGGAAGGGAACCCACCTGCGGGTGGGCAAGGCTCAAAGCACATAGACCCATTCCGCAGGACAACCAACCCTTGCTACCTACAGACAAGGGAGGTCCTTGCCACCTCATTCCCTAAAGACCAATCAGTTTAAAGGTCATACTGTTCTGCCAATCATATTGTACCTAGTCACTGTTTCTCTTGTCTACCCCTTAAACTGTATAAAAACTTAAACTGTATAAAAACTGACCAAATGGGCTGTCCCAGGTCGCCACCTCTCCTTCGGGTGCCGGACGACCCCAATGCATTGGATCATTAAAATTCCTCTTGCTTTTTGCATCGATTCAGGTCTCTCCGGGGTTCACTCAGGGGGGGCAGTGTCTCTGGTAAACTAAGGCTCACAAGAGTCTTACACTTCAGCCTCTCAAATGTTGGGATCACAGGCATGTACTACCATGCCTAGCATATCCTTGCTGTTTAAATGAACTATTTAGAAACCTTAAAAAGATTTTCACAGCCAGGCAGTGGTGGCACACACTAGAGGCAGGTGGATCTTCTTTTTTTTTTTTAAGATTTATTTATTTATTTTATGTATTTGAATATACCATTGCTATCTTCAGACACACCAGAAGAGGGCACTAGATCCCATTACAGATGGTTGTGAGCCACCATGTGGTTGCTGGGAATTAACTCAGGACCTCTGGAAGAACAATCAATGCTCTTAACCACTGAGCCATCTCTCTAGCCCAAGGCAGGTGGATCTTTGAGTTTGAGTCTAACTTAGTCTACAGAGCAAGTTCCAGGACAACCAGAGCTATACAGAGAAACTCTATGTCAAAAAATACCAAAACAACAACAAAAAAACAATAACAATAAAAAATTATTGCCGGGCGGTGGTGGTGCACGCCTTTAATCCCAGCACTTGGGAGGCAGAGGCAGGCAGATTTCTGAGTCCCAGGCCAGCCTGGTCTACCAAGTGAGTTCCAGGACAGCCAGGGCTACACAGAGAAGCCCTGTCTCGAAAAAAAGAAAAATTTTTTTTCTTCATTTGTTTGTGAGTATGTGCATGCGTGCGTGCCTGCATGTGAGTGTGTGTGTGTTGGGGAAGAACATGCCACTGTGTATAAGTGAAGGTCAAAGGATAATTTGCCTGAGTTGCTTCTCTTCTGATGTGAATCAGACTTGGGTCACCAGGCTTGACAGCAAGTGTTTTTATCAGCTGAGCCACCTTACCAGCCTCTCAAAACTTTCTTTCTTTCTTTTTTTTTTTTTTTTTTTTTTTTTGGTTTTTCAAGACAGGGTTTCTCTGTATAGCCCTGGCTGTCCTGGAACTCACTCTGTAGACCAGGCTGGCCTCGAACTCAGAAATCTGCCTGCCTCTGCCTCCCAAGTGCTAGGATTAAAGGCGTGCACCACCACTGCCCGGCCTCTAAAAACTTTCTAACACAATTTCAAAGCCAAGGGTATATATAAGTGCCACTTTCTGACAGAGTCTTATACTGGTCATTGCTGTGGTTTGTTGGAGTCACAGCCGGATAAGACTGACTATCCATTGCTTTCCCTCTCGGCAGTATGCATGGCTCCTTCTGAAATGGTGATAGCTAGTCCTCAGTGCAGAGGTTTCCATGTTAGACTCAGATTGATTTCTCCAAGTCCATTGCCTGTGATATGTGATGTCTTCAGCAACAGTGTCTTACCTTCTTTTTCTA